ACCTTAAATTGTCTAAATATATATTTCTCACAAGAAAATAGAGGACCGGTTGGAATTCTTGTTTTACACACTTAAACTTCTTTCTAATAAATAGTATTTATCATTTTCTGAGTTACTTGCTTTTTGGATTAACTTTTTCTATTCCAGGTTGCCACAAGAAAAGCATGACATTTTACTTGTTTATCTTTCTTCTTTACAGTCAGTGAAACCTATGCTCTCCATTTTCCCCAACAATCTTTTACTGAGAACTATAGGAAAATTCTAGAAGATTGGAACGTTTTAAGAGGCTTGTTTCACATTTACAAATCAAGATACTGTAGAAGACAGTCTGCTCCATAATGCTGGGACTCCATGTTTCTTTAATGTGAGATGTATTTCTAATTTTGAAAAGACAAACAGTCAAAACAATTGAATGCATCAGTCAACAGAGCTTCAGTTTAAGAGAATTGAAGGGCACCAAATGTTGTTCAGAATGTCGCTTGAGGTCTTCCCTTGTTATAAACACAGATATTGAAGTCTAGACTTTCCTCATATAGATAATAATAATAATAATAATAATAATAATAATAATAATAATAATAATAATAATAATAATAATGTTGGAAGGGACCTTGGAGGTCATCTAGTCCAACCCCCTGCTCAGGCAGGAACCCTATACCATTTCAGACAAATAGCTGTCCAGTCTCTTCTTAAAAACTTCCAGTGTTGGAGCATTCACCGCTTCTGGAGGCAGGTTGTTCCACTGATTAATTGTTCTCACTGTCAGGAAGTTTCTCCTTAGTTCTAAGTTGCTTCTCTCCTTGATCAGTTTCCATCCATTGCTTCTCATCCTGCCTTCAGGCGCCTTGGAGAATAGCTTGACTCCCTCTTCTTTATGGCAGCCCCTGAGATATTGGAACACTGCTATCATGTCACCCCTCATCCTTCTCTTCGTTAAACTAGACATAACCAATTCCAGCAACCGTTCCTTATATGTTTTAGCCTCCAGTTCCCTAATCATCTTTGTTGCTCTTCTCTGTACTCTTTCTAGAGTCTCAGCATCTTTTTTACATCGTGGTGACCAAAACTGGATGCAGTATTCCAAGTGTGGCCTTACCAAGGCATTGTAGAGTGGTATTAATACTTCATGTGATCTTGATTCTATCCCTCTGTTAATGCAGCCCAGCACTGTGTTGGCTTTTTTAGCAGCTGTGGCACATTGCTGGGTCATATTTAAGTGATTGTCTACTAGGACTCCGAGATCCCTCTCACAGTTACTACTATTGAGCAAGGTACCCCCTATACTATACCTGTACACTTGGTTTTTCTTGCCTAAATGTAGAACCTTACTTTTTTCACCATTAATCACCAGATCATAGGCTTCACTTCCAATCTAAGAGTCAATCTTATGAAAGCCTTTACTATATTAACCTGACAAGCACTCATTTTTCATTTAAACTTCTCACCATTCCCATAATTTCTTAGGTTAGCTACACTATATTTAGCATACATTCATCAACTTTAACAACAGCTCAGACATAAGAAAAGACACTTACCCAACAATTAAAGGAACCCTATAGAAATGAACTGATGCCGTATTACTTAATCCACTGAACAACGCTGAAAATTACTTCTCTCATTTAAGTAATCTCTAACAAGAACAGGCAAAAACATCAAACTTCAGACTCCCCTAATTTAGCAAAGAGTTAAAAAAAATCTTAACTTCTTTAAAAAAATAAGCAAGGAATGTGAAAGCATTAAGCAGTGTAGATAAGTAGGATCACAGAGCTGTTGAACAATAAGAACTGGTAAACTAAGAGCTAGACACAAGTCCCTTAGCAAAAAAAAAAACAACCACAAAAACAAAACTCCAAAACCACACACTTAAGTGCATGTTGAACTCTGGAACCAGTTGGAATCCTTCAGGAATTTATCAGAAGCTTAACATAATTATCAGTTTGAATTATAATTGTTAGAATGACTGTGTGTTCAGCTTTAAAAGATAGTTTTCTTTTTAAAGAGTATCAAAGGAAAATCCTCTAGTTGAAGTCTATTCTAACTGAACATTACTCTGTCAAAGTTTAGTATAAAGAATCACCAAAAAAGTTAGGATAAAGGTTACTATATCAAAAGCTAGTACGTTTTGATCTCAGCTGGCAAACTAAGAAAGGCTTCTATTTCTACTAAATTCATACTAATGTTTTCTAAAAAATATATCAATCTCTATAAAGAGTCATAGGGAGATGCTATGGAAATCCCTATATCTTTTTAAGTTCTGCATATCACTTTTTTACACTGATGGAAAATGGCCAAGCTATCATTAACAGTAGATAAGTGCTTAAAAACAAAAAACAAATACATTTTTCAGGAAAGTAACTGGATTTTCTATGAAGAAAAAGTAACAGTACAAATAAAGAAGCCCATTCTTTCATAAATACCCACTAACCTCTGTACATTCAGAGTACTGTGTTCATAATAAATATAGGCAATAACCTGTTGAGAAATTTATGATTTAGCCCAGTGCAACCCTCAAAGCCAACTTTCCCAAACATTGTGTCCTAAATAAATAGTGAATGCAAGGCTATGCTGGTTCAGAATTCTGGAAACTATATTTGAAATGGACCCCATTGGGGGGAGAGTTGTTCAAGCTGTTACATTAAATCCTAGAGTCTCTCTATAAAATAGGTGAAACAAAGCATGTAGAAGCTTATAGTCCATTCCTCATCTTGGCTGGCAGAACTTCAACCAAGAGAGCCATCATTCTGCAATAGCACAGTTCTCTATCCTAGTGATAAACATATGAAAGAGTCTGCCTTCATCTTGTAGGGAAAATAGGTTCCTAGGAGCAGATGCAATTTCCCAAAGACCTGAATGTAATTTCCATAGCGCCTCCATAATTTTGATTTTTGATGCCAAGAGAAAATGATTATTCATAAATGCATTGCTATATATTAGTAGTAGCTATATAGTAGCTCATGTAACCAGTTGATCCTAATTTTAATTCAATTAAAATTAATCATAACCTTTTCTCTGTCCCCATCTACTTTTATGTCTTGGGCCTACCAACTTTTGGGGGTATAATTCATGACACAACATTCAGTGGCAAATATAACTTTACTCCTTATCTTTCCTGAGGCCCCTGAATTGAAGAAGAGAACAAAACACCAAAGGAATTAATAATATCTCTCCCAATATCCTAAATAAACCCATTACTCTCAGAATAATTGGTTCTACTGTTGAATTATTCATTATTGAGACTTCTTTAAAAAAAAACATGGACACAAAATCTGCCTTCCTGCAAAACAGACAGTTAGGAATGAAAATGACTAAAACTTAAATAATAAAAAGTTAATCTGTCTCTTTCGAAAGAAAACTTTGATGATTAAAAAAACTTTACAACCCCAAAATATGCTTGCTTGGTTGATTTCAACATTCAGCTAACCAATCATGCTATTTTGAGGAAGCCAAGAGAAAAAAACCCAGCATGCTGATGCCTCTAGGCCAGTTCCTTCTGTGGACAGAAGAGTCTGTTTCAGATAATTCCCAAAGAGATATCTCCCCTTTTCCCATAGGAATCTCATGACCCTCCATTTTGTTGGTAACAAATAAAAAATAAGCAAGCCCTTTTCCATGCAAGGACAGGAGAGGTTTCTGTCTCATCCTGCCACTGTTTTTTTAGCTGTGTTGAAGAAAACAAAAATAAAGGCCAGCATTCTGTAGGGGTCCAATATTGTAGCAAACAACTGCTTCCCAGAAATTTTTATTCCGTTAACCATTTCAGCTCCAGTAATTAGCACTACGGTAGTATTTCTCATATGAACAAGACACCAAAAGTGATCCCGCAAGCTTCCCTAAGTCTTAGGAACATTTGGCTGAAGCTCAGTTTAAAAACAAAACACCTGCCTCTTCATTGTCTTAGATGACTTTCAAAGCTGGTAACAATTTTATTGCAGAGAATGTGTGTATCAATAGCAAACAACAAGAACATTGCAACAGAGCTTCCTTACTCGAAGGCACATTACCAAATGCTAAAAATAGAGTGGAACGAAAGCAGCTGCTCTGTTGCTCTGTTCAGTTTGCTTGAAGAAACCAAGAGCAGGTCTCGGATAGTGTGGTGAAGATATTCTTAATTGGTATTTTTCTTAAAAAAAAAAAAAAACCCAGACTGTTCAGAGGCTCAAACCTAGACAATAAAATGAGACCTCCCAATTAGGCACCTATCCCCTAAATCCCACTCCCCAAATCTGATATATAGTTTGAACACCCCTCCCAAAAAAATCATCAAATCCTTTGATGCCTAGTGGTTATCCTGTTTTTCACAGCCCATATTTGCTAGCCCTTTTTGATTTTCTTGCGTGTGGGCTTTGTAAAATGACACTGCAAGAGCTCTTACGTTCCTCACATCTGAAAGGCAAATAAAACAAATATCTACGCAGCCAAAAAGAAAAAAGTTATTTAAAAAAAAAATCCTTGCAGCTTCCCACATTACTGCATCAGCTTTGCAGATGACATTCAAACACAGTTCCAATTGCTTGGATGTTTATGAAATAGGAGTATCCAGGGAGCTGACAAAGTTTCAAACTCCCCCCCCCTCCCAAAAAAAAACATATTTTCACATGGACTGTGATTTTCTAGTTAAGGATGCCTGTCTACTGCCCATAAAAGTAGCTTCTTTCAGAGCCATTATATCAGCTTCATCTACAGAATTTCATTGCAGTTTTTCACCGCACTGGGACATGCATTATCAAGTGGCAATTAAAGGAACATTTCTTTTTTTAAAAAAAATGGCAGTCCTTTTCCTGGTTTTTCTCTAGCCTTCTGACAATTTCTTCTTCTGTGCTACCTATTCAAGAGGCTTCTCTAACCTTCCCAGTCTATAATCTGTTAATTATAACCCCCATCTTCCCCAACCAACATGACGAGCTGAACATTCTGGGAATTGTAATCCAACTCATCTGGAGAGCTAATCTGACATTTTTTGTATCTAAAGTTATTTCTTTCAGAATGTCCAAGTTACTCACTTTTCTTCGCAGATGTCCAGGCACAAGCTTGGCAGAGCACCTTATTTCTCCTCCAAGACCAAGAACAGAGCTCTACTGGATGCTTTCTCTGCTGTTGGGCTTTTAGCTCAGCTGTTATCTATTTATTAAAAAAAATAAGCCAAAAGGACAAGTTGCAGTTAAGTAAACATATTTTCTTTTTAACTCTGAAGCGGCTATCATCATCATCATTCTCTTTTCTAGATTATTAATCAATTAAAATTCAACTATATATGCATGTGTAGTTAGTTGTTTATTCCCTATATGCCAAAACATTTAAAACAAATGAGTATATTTCTCGTTATGATTAGATAATTTAGACTGGAATAATCTTTGCTTATCCCTGTTAATCTACCAAAATACTGTTGGGCTTCCTTATTATTTATTCATAATTATCCTATTCTTTCATCATTAATGAAAGATACCTGTTGAGTCCTTGGCGAAAAGCAGACACGAGAAGCAGTTGTAGTTCTCAGGTTTTCTTTTATTCTGTGTTCAGCTTACAGGAGAAGGCTTCAGCAACGCCCAAAAGCTCCCAGACTCTTATATAGGCAATTCCCAGGTCAATGTGTTACTTTTCCCGCGCCAGCACCCGCGCATGCGCACAGGCGCTGGCGACAGCCTATCTGGTCCCGGGCAGCTTGCACCTGCCCGGGACTGCCTGCAAACACCCCGAGCCCGTTTGCAAGGCTTGGGACATAACACCCCTTTCCCCCAGGCTAAGACTACTATCAACATACAATTATTTCTTGATGCAGTATTCTACTCCCCAGTGCTCCTACTGTTTACTGGCTTTTGTTTAGCCAGCAATGTTATGTAATCCTCTAAGTACTTAGGAGATTTCCTTGCTCTCTGTGACCTTCTCAGCTCTGGGTTTCTGACAGGTGTTCCTGACTGAAGGGAGACGTGAGCCTGTTCTCCTTATCTTGCCTTGGTGCCTTCCAAGGACTGTGCCCCAATGCCTGGCCTGCTTGCTAGCCCACCGGGCTCGTCAGGCCAGGGCTTCTGTCACTTTGTGACCTGGTTGACCTGACTAGCTGTAGGCCCTCGGGACCCTTGAAGTGATAGCCACTGCTGGGCGTCTCTGTAGAACCTCCTAGGTCCGTCCAAGACCTGTCAGGAGGCTGTCCATTCCCTAAACCCCGTTCTGTGTCTGGGCTCGTGTGGGTTTCTGTACCTTCCCAAAACTCAGTTACTCCCTGATTTGGGCTAGAGGTGTTGCGGTCGGGACTTGGTTCCTCGACCACATCCCTGTATGTTTGACCACTTGTAGGACTTGGGGTAAGGTCAGGCCAACTCTGGGGATTATGTGCTAGCTCTCTTGCGGGGTATGATTTATTGGGATGCTCCCGGGTATCCTCCCTGACTGGAGTAGGCGTGAATGCCTGGTAGTTGGATAGGCTCTTAGAATTCCTGTTTGGGGCACTCGCGGAATCTTGGAATGGGCCGTTTGTGGCTCCATCATTGGAGGTGGGTAGCAGCTCGTGCCCCTCCCTTTGCTCTAAAGGGTCCCCCTCCCCCCCTGGAAAAGACCCAGGAGTCTCATCTGAAAGATCCCGCCTAGGGCGGAGTTGGTCGATGTGCCGATGCAGGACACGACTGTTGTCCAGGGCTACCTTGTAGGATAGAGAACCTGTGACCCTGGAAATAGAAGCGGGGACCCATGTATGACCAGGCCCGTAATTGCGAGTCCAAACTGGGGCACCCAGAAGTAGTTGTCTAGGTGCCCTAGGATGTGAGGTAGATGAAGGCAGTCTGTCCGGATGCAACCGGTCAAGCTTCGTAGTAAGTTTGCGCCCCCAGCGAAGTTCAGCTGGGCTTCTCCCTGTAGAAGTGGACGGTGTGGTGCGGTAAGAAAGGAGAAAGTCAGCCAACCTGTGATGCCAGTCCCCATAGGTAAGTCTTCTCAAGGCGTCCTTTGTGATGCGGACCATGCGTTCAGCCATACCGTTGGTGGACGGGTGGACGGGTGCAGATGTGGCATGACGAATCATGTTAGCCTGTAAGAAAGCTTGGAATTCAGAGGAAGTAAATTGAGGGCCATTGTCAGACACGATGACATCTGGGAGCCCGTGTGCAGCAAGAATCCCCCTCAGTACCTGAATAGTCTTTGCAGTGGTGGTGGATGAGACAGGTACAACCTCAAGCCATTTTGCTGGGGGCGCAAACTTACTACGAGGACCAAGAAGAACTGGCCCTGAAAGGGCCCAGCGTAGTCAATGTGCACCCTAGACCATGGGGACTGTGTATCCTCCCATCTATGCACAGGAGCTTGGGGCATCTCTGGGTGAGAGCGCTGGCACAGGTGGCATGCATGCACCTTAGCCTCAATGTCCTTATCTAAACCAGGCCACCACAAGTGGCTGCGCGCAAGGGCCTTCATGCGAACAATGCCAGGATGACCCTCGTGGAGGGACTCTAAGATCCTAGTCCTCATTGAGGTGGGAATGACAACTCTGTTTCCCCAAAGCAGACAACCCTGAGAAGTGGACAACTCGTTCCTTTTGGACCAGAAACTCTGAAACTCAGGACTAGGGCAGTGCTCAGGCCATCCAGACAAAACCCAAGAAAGGACACGTGAAAGTGTGTGATCTGTGCCTGTTTCAGCAGCAACATCCCTGGCATTCAGAGGGGACTCGGGCAAGTCATGGATGGATAGAATGTTGACAGCTGGCGCGGGGTCAGCTTCTACTACTGGCAGGGGCAATCTACTGAGGCCATCAGCATGGCCCATTTCTTTCCCAGGCTTGTGGAGTAAGAAAAAATCATATGCAGACAGAAAAATAGACCACCTAAGCATTCTAGGGGAAATGATTTGGGGAGTTTGTTTACATGTGGTAAACAGTCCCAGCAGAGGCTTATGGTCAGTGAAGACCGTGAAATGCCTGCCATACAAGAAATCATGGAATTTTTTAATTCCAGCAACAACAGGCAGAGCCTCCCTGTCTATCTGAGCGTAGTTGCGCTCAGCAGAAGACAGTGTTCTGGAGTAATATGCAACAGGAACCTGAGTTCCATCAGACCTGAGGTGGCTCAGGAAGGCTCCTACCCCGTAAGGGGAAGCATCACAAGCGATGCACACAGGAAGGGACTCATTGAAGTGTGCAAGTACACTGTTAGAAGTGAGTAAGGCCTTGACCTCATTGAAAATAGCCTCATGTGTTTGTGACCACTGCCACACTGCTTGTTTGTCTAATAGCCTGTGAAGAGGCTCAGCTACACTAGCTTTATGTGGAAGAAAGGAATTGTAGAAAGTCAGGAGGCCCAGAAAGGCCTGAAGTTCGGCCTTAGACTTTGGCCTAGGTGCTTCTAAAATGGCAGTTAGTTTGGATTCAGCAGGGTGAATCCCAGCAGCATCAATTTTGAACCCCAGGAATTCAGTAGAAGGCACCCCAATTTTGCATTTGTCTTTTTTGAGCTTGAGGCCTGTTTTCCTGAACCTTAACAGAACAGCCCTTAGCCTTTCAGCTAGAATGTGTGTGGAGTCTCCTGCAATTAAGACATCATCAAAGTAGGGGCAAACCCCCGGTATGCCCCGCAGTGTGTTTTCCATTCCGCTTTGGAAAATCCCAGGAGCGACATTCACTCCAAACTGCAGCCTTTTTACCTTAAAGGCTCCCCTGTGGGTCACAATAGTCTGAGCTATAGCAGCATCATCAACAGGCAGCTGTTGATACGCTTGAGCTAGGTCAAGCTTTGCAAAAACGCGCCCCCCCCCTTGAGGGAGGCCAGAATATGACTGACCACAGGAACAGGATAGGCATGTTGCTGCAATGCCTTATTAAGAGTGCATTTGTAGTCAGCACAAATCGAATGTCCCCATTTGCCTTTAGAGGCGTGACAATGGGGGTCTCCCAAGGGCTGGAATCAACAGGTTCTAGAATTCCTTGTTGGATCAGTTTGTCTAACTCAGTGTCAATTTTACTCTTTAAAGCAAAAGGGACCCTTCTTGCTTTAATTCTAATGGGAGTGACAGTGGGGTCTAGTTTTAAGGACACAGGGGGTCCCTTGAATGTGCCCAGCTGGGGGATGAAGACATCTGCAAATTCTTTGCAGACTTCCTGTAGGTCGAGTGTTTGTAAGCTGTTGAGCCCCGTGACGTGTATCCCCAAGGCTTCAAACCAATCAAGTCCTATGAGACTCGTTCGTTCACCCCCTACTACTAATAGGTCTAGTGGACCTTCAAAATTCTTATACTGTACGTTAAGGGTGGCCTCCCCCTTAACACACACTCTCGAATTTTGACAGTCTGTTAACACAATGTCAGAAGGCCTTAATTTAGCCTGAGTTCCACTGCCGGAACAAATCTTCCTAAATGTATGTAAGGATATGATTGAAAGGGCAGACCCCGTGTCTAGTTCCATAGTTAATGGAACCCCTTGTAGCTTCATCTTGAGTGACAGCTTTTTCTTGATGGGCTTGTGTGTGCCTGTCCTGAAGATGCTTCTTTGCAAAGCACAAAAACCTACCCTATTCTGGCTGGGGACCCTGGTACCTTTCAGGCGCAGTTCTTCCTGAGGTTGTACCTTTCGTCGGCCCAGACACACAGCTGCAATATGTCCTTGTTTTCCGCACGCCCGGCAGATAGCGGAGCGGAACTTGCAGTCGGTTCTCCTGTGGCGACCTCCACAGCCGATGCACTTGAGGGGAGCTGAAGAGCTTCCTTTCTGATTCCCTTCCTTCGTGGGGTGGAGACGGTCGACTTCCTCGTCCGGATCCTCCTCGGAGTTCCCTTGGACGTCCTCTTGGTGCACGGATGCAACATCTGGACTGTTCCTGATCGGCCGCATGTTCTTGACGGCGCCGCCTGCTGCTTCTTCTGCGGTGACCTCTCTTAAGGCATCTTGGAAGGACAAGACTTCTTTGGCGAAAAGCCTCTGTTGTAAATCTCGATGCCTTAAGCCGCACACGAATCGGTCCCTCAGTCGTTCTTCAAGGTCCTTGAACTCGCAGTGCTTGGCAGCCTTCCTCAATGCGGCGATGTACTCTTTGGCCGACTCTCCGGATCGTTGATCCCTCTGCTCGAAGGTGTGGCGCCATGCGATGACGGACATCTTGGGCTGGAAGTGCTCCTTCAATAGCTTCTTTAGATCTGCGTAGCTGACAGACTCTAATGAAACAGGTGCTGTAAGGTTCTCTGCGATTTCGAAGGCGTCTTGGCCGCAGACACAAAGCAGGGTGGCAGCCTTCAAGCTATCTTCCCTCACTTGGTTCACCTTGAGGTAATTTTCCACCCTGGCTACGTAGGAGTCCCACCGCTCTGGATGTGAGACGTTGAACTCCGAAAGCCTTCCAACCTTTGCCATCTTCAGGAGATGGGTCTATCAGCCAGCCTACCCCCGAATGCTCACTGGATTGGCGGGTAGCTGCCGAGTCAACTCCGTTCCACCGCTCAAGACTCACTTGGGTAAGCTTACACCTCTTCCTTTCCAGACGATGTAAGGCATCCCACCTTCGTCGCCAGTGTTGGCGAAAAGCAGACACGAGAA